TCCCAACTGGATGGCCGGGAGCTCACTCCCCTGCGTCCTGGGACCTCAGGTTCCCTCTGTTGGCAGCACTTGTTGGATGGGCAGTCTCCTGGGGCCCTCTGAGTCTGACGTTCTCTCCTTCCTCCACATTGTCTGCAACTTTCTCTTCATGCGCTCTGGCAAAGGCCCACTTCCCAAGGGTGGGGGGAGGCTGGTGAAGGAGTGAATGAGTGAAGGAACATAGGGACCCTCCCCTCCAGAATCCCTGTATCTGTGCCACTGGAATCTGCCTTCTTTTGCTCTCAGTCAACGAGGCTCACATTTGTAAAGTGTGCTTTTCTGTCTCTGCCTGCCTACCTGTCTGGTTGTCTCTCCTTCTGTCCTTAGGTATCTCTGCCCCCTCTCTGACTTTGCATCTCTCTGCTCTCGCTCTCTCTCTCTCTCTCTCTCTCTCTCTCTCTCTCTCTGTCTGTCTCCTTCTGTTTCTATCTCATATTATTTCTGCATTTCTCTCCCCAATGCCCACCTTCTCCCTGGCTTTGTCTCCATTCCTCCCTCTCTCCAGGCAACTGTTTCTGTCGGGCTCCCTCCTGTTCCCCCCAGCCAAGGCTTTTCCTCCCCGTTTCTCCCCCTCCCTGTCTTAGGGACCCCATCGCCCTGAGTGCAGGCTGGAGCCCTACAGTCTGTTGAGAGCCAGAGCCCTGACTTCTGAGGGAGGGGAGAATGAAAAGGGGAGGGCAGGGCGATATCCTAGGACTGGGTCAAGTTCTGGGTTCTTCCGTGCCGGGTGCTTCCATGCCGCTGGGCCACAGGTTGGGCAGGGGGCTGATGAGGCAACCTCTCCGCCCAGAGGGCACAAGACAAGAATTTCTGAGGACTTCCTTGTCCTCAAAACAAACCTGCCTGGAGCCAGGATGGGACTTTCCTGCCCAGTAGACTTTAGGGCACATATAGGTGTGCAATCTCCACCGCATCCTTTCTCTGTACCACAGTTTCCCTAACTACAAGATGCACAGACAACTACAATCGGGGGATCGGTTGAAAGAGAGATGGGGGAAACATGTCATATTCTCTCTGTGGCCCCAAACAAGATCGTTTCTCCAAGTCCTAGTACAGTTGTCCAGCCCCTCAGAGTGTGAGGGTCACTTGGGCGCCCAGATTAGCTGATATTTTGATGACTCTTAAAAGTAATATGGCCAGGCACTGTGACTCACATCTCATTTTAGGAGGCTGAGGCGGGAGGATTACTTGAGGCCAGGAGTTCGAGACTAGCCTGGGCAACACAGTGAGACCCTGTCTCTACAACAGATTAAGAATTAAACCAGTGTGGTGGTGTGCACCTGTAGTCCCAGCTACTCAGGAGGCTGAGGTAGGAGAATCGCTTAAGCCCAGGAAGTCAAAGCTGCAGTTTGCCATTGTACTCCAGCCTGGGTGACAAAAGCAAGACCTGGACTCCAAAAAAAAAAAAAAAAAGAACTAACATGATTTAAACATGCCACCTGTGTGTAATGGAGGTGTTAGGTTTTATGTCAAGGAAAGGTAAAGAAGGGGGCCCCCCGGAGGTGGAGTTGAGCAATTCTGCTCATCCCCAAGCTTGCATGCCCAATTCCCTTGCAATTACCAAGACAGGCCCTCCTTAGAGGACACTTGAGCAACCATCTGTGGTTCCTCACACAAGCTCATCCCATGTGGCTTCTCAAAGCCTCCCTTCCAGACACAGAACTCTTTTCTCACTTGGAGTCATTCCGCTAAATGGAATTTTACCTGCTTCCTTACATTTGCAACACTCACTGTAGAAAAATTCAGGCAATCGTAATCTGTAATCTAGAGCAGATCTTTTCCAATATTCATAGTTTTTCCTGTTTTTTGTTTGAATTGGGATCTCACTCTGTTGCCCAGGCTGGAGTGCAGTGGCACGCTCACAGCTCACTGCAACCTTGACTGCCTGAGGTCAGGCAATCCTTCCACCTCAGCCTTCCAAGTTTCTGGGACTACAGGCATGCGCCATCACACCTGGCTATTTTTTTTTTTTGACTTTTTGTAGAGATGAGGTCTCACTATGTTGGCCAGTCTGGTCTCAAACTCCTTGGACTCAAGCAGTCCTTAAGCTTCAGCCGCCCCAAAGTGCTAGGATTACAGGTGTGAGCCACTGCACCTGGCCTGTTTGTTTACTTTTAATCTTGATAAATACTGTGCTAAGTTGGCCCCACCATGGACAAAGAAAAGTGTAACTTAGGTCTCATGATGTGTGGAGCTGATTTAAAATACTTTGACCATACTTTCGTGCTTCTGACAATTTATTTTGCCTCATTGAGAATCTGTGTGGGTTCCTGTATATCCCCTGCCTGTGTCTTTCCATTGCTGTGCTCCTAGTGAAATGAATCTCGGGGAAGATGAAATGAAATCATGGATGGCAAGTCCTCAGTCTGTGTCATGCAGAGCCCGACTAAAACACAAGACATGAATCTGTATCCAGTGCTGTCTTGTGGTAAACACGTATGTCCTGAGCTCTCTCCTAAGCCCCCACATGCCCTTAGGAGGCTGTTTTTCCCATGATACTATGCCTCCCACTGGCCTCGAAGACTATGGGTTAGTGTTTCTCATAGGCATGGCTCAGGGCTGATTTGCAAGGCTGGGCCAATCCCAGACAGCTTGCCTTGGCAAGCCAGGCTGGAATCTGATTCAGGACATCACATTCCATTCTTGACTCTTCAGCCCAGTGGCCCTGGGAGGGAGACCCCTGACTCCAGGACCAGCTTTGTGAGTGGAAGAAACCAAACTCTAAGGCTCGATGAGGCAGGGTGGCTTCCCCGAGTCTTGTTCTGCTATCGCTGCCATTTATTGAGGTCTTCCAGTGTGCCTCATTGAGTTCTCAGTGGCCTTGTGCAGGAGAAGGGGCATGGTCCCATTTTACAGATGAGAAAACTGAGGCCCAGAGAGGTGACATGATGTCTAGAATCACTCACTGATTTGTAAACACAGGCCTGGCCCAGTAGCGTGTTTGCTTGGCCTTGAAGATGGCACTTGCGTGCCTCAGCTCTCACGAGCATGGAAGCCTAGAGGGCCTAGGTTTCTGTCTTGGCTCTGTCTTCTCTCCTTAGCTCTGTAACTTGGGTAAGTTATTGGACCTCTCTGCCTCTGCTTCCTCATCTGCAAAACCCCTCGTTGGATTGTTGAGAAGACTGAACTGCTTAATAGAGGTAAAGGGCTCAGACCAGCGACCGTGGAGTCATTGCCATGGAAGCACATCCTCTTTCTCTGGAACTTCTCTCAGTCCTTGGCTTTGAAGTGAAAATCTGACCCTCTCCCTCCTTTTTGCTTAAGTGCTTTAAAGGGGTCTCCAGATTTTCTAGTCTAGTACCGTCCCCTTCGTCACAGCCCCCACAACCCATTCCAGCCCCATGCTCTCCTCTAGCTCTCTGC